CGTCATTGCGTCAAAAAATTTTGTGTTAAAAATTTTTATGTTAAATATTTAACACTTTTTTGTGTTAATTTAATATTTTTCTGTGTTAATTTAACACAATTAATGTTAAATTTACACATAAAAGTATTAAATATTTAACACAAAAATTTTTTGACGCAATGACGCAAAATTTTTTACTGTGTAATTTCGAAAAATGGCATTAGCTCAGAAGTTTATTTATGTATTTATGTATTCTGTGGATCAATACCAAGATCAAGTTCGAAGATGAGCAAAATCGGCCGGTTAGTTTACGAGTTGTGGGTGTTTAAAAATTTTTTTCATTTTTAAGAAATTTTGAATTTCGTAGACTTTATATGAAAATAATTTTCCAGATGTAAAAGATAAATTTAACTCAAACTTTATTTAATTACCTTCAATATAAACTATCATTTGTCTAGTTTTAATGATTTTTTTTTAATTAATTTCGTGATTTTGAAAATTTTTGATAGTTTTTCAATAAACGTATTTTGGCCCTTTTTCTTCAAATCATTTTTAGGCCGTAAAAGATAGCTTAAATATATCAAATTTATGTTAAAATTTACGTAATTATCTTCAATTTAAGCTATTTTTCGTCGCCTTTTGATACATTTTTCAATTTATTTCGTAGTTGGGAAAATTTAAAAAAAAACTAGAATAAATAAATTTTTAGCTTCTATCATCAAATGATTTTCATATCTGTTATAAATCCTATTTTTTAGGTAAATGTTTTTGAATATCTCTTTGTTGTAGTCGGTCTTGTATCGTTATTTGCAAAAATATAATAAAAAATACATTTAAGGACATTATTGCCTTTTAAAAATGTGCTTTTATTAATATTCAAACGAGAAATCTACCTATCCATGTCGGGTATGGCCGAATGGCGCTTTTTTAAAAATTAAATTAAAAAAAAATTGAGTCAGCTTAAATTAAAAAAATGATTGAAAAATGTTATATTAATGTGATTATTTTTTTTGAATTTCAGGCTGTAAGATAAAAGCTCTCCGTGCGAAGACCAACACGTACATAAAGACACCAGTCCGAGGCGAGGAGCCAGTGTTCGTGGTGACAGGCCGTAAGGAGGACGTAGCCCGTGCCAAACGCGAGATACTCTCAGCAGCGGAGCACTTTTCACAGATCCGCGCCTCGCGCAAGAGCTCCCTGGGGGCTTTATTGGGAGCACCACCAGGTCCACCGACTTCAGTCCCAGGGCACGTGACAATTCAGGTACGCGTGCCATACAGAGTTGTTGGTTTGGTAGTGGGCCCCAAGGGGGCGACGATCAAGAGGATCCAGCACCAGACTCACACCTACATCGTGACACCGAGCCGCGACAAGGAGCCCGTCTTCGAGGTGACCGGCCTGCCAGAGAACGTCGAGGCGGCCAGACGAGAAATAGAGGCTCACATCGCCTTACGCACCGGCTCAACCAACGGCCCCGGAGGTCTTGCCGGCGACGAAGTTGACTTGCTCGGCGCCCTCTGTCGCGGAGGACTTGGCTCAATCTTGGGCAGCCTGGACCCTCCCGGTTCAAACGGCTCCAACGGATCCACCAGCGGCGCTTTCTCCAGCAGCGGAAGCTGCAGCAGTTCCTCCAGCAGTTCCGGAGCTCCGGGCCTGAACGACCTGGTGGCCATCTGGGGTGCGGGGATCGACCGCGACGAAGGACTTGGAGACTCTCCCTCATTCGAGTCCCAGACCGCGTCAGCTTCCTCGATCTGGTCCTTTCCAGGAGTGACTTTGCCATCTCGGCCGTCGCCTCCGGCCTCTGCCAGCCCCGCCAGCCCCACAGACTCACTTCTTGGAACCGGGAGCGCCGGTGGCCGTCGCGAGTGCGTAGTTTGCGGCGACAAAGAGGTTACTGCTGCTCTGGTGCCATGCGGACACAATTTGTTCTGTCTGGACTGCGGGAACCGCGTCTGCGAGAGCTCCGACCCCAGCTGTCCTGTTTGCTCGCGACCTGTTCTTCAGGCTCTGAGAATTCTCTCTTAAGAGCATCTAATGATAACACAACATCACTACCATCATCATCATCATCATTATTACTGACGACCACCTCGATGATTATTATTAAAAAAGAGTAATAATATAAAGAAGAAGATGAAACGGAGGAGATCAACATATTATTTGATTGTAACCAAGGTATCACTGACTAACGAGAAGGAAACTACCAGGAACTTCGAGGGACCCTTGAGTCTGGAAAGACGCGCACAAGATTTAAATTCCACTGCTGCTGCCAATATTTATTAACAAGACAAAGATTTTAAACACATTTAATTAATAACTAACTAATCTTTAAATTTAATTAAATTTAAACAAGACAAAGGATTTTATGAGTAACATTTAAAAAAAAAATAATAATAATAATATAAATTAAAAAAGAAAAAAATATTTAACAAAATAAAACCGGGAATTTTGATGCGTTCAACGATCGGTCATTCCCGCGCCAACCGGATACAACGAATCGATTAAATATGCTGTAGGTGTAGACTCTCCGAGCGACTCGCGGCGCGTCTCCTATCGCCTGCTTTCTCAAAACTTTTATCTCACGTGATAATAACAATTATTATTATTATTATCATCGTCAAAAATTTAAAATAAAATAACTAACAATTTAAAAAAAAAAAAAAATTGAGTTAATTATAGCAGTTTACGTTTTATAGTTTTAAGTATAAGACTTGAATTATTTATTATCGCTGAAATTTATTTTGTTTATTGAAATCTTGAACTATTATTAATATAATGATAAATATTTAGAGTCTTATGCTTGGTAAAGACTAGTCGCGCCGTGAATCGTTTTTAATGAGATTTATATGTAATAATAAAAAGTAAATCCTCGTAGATCTGTGTGTGTGTGTCAATTCGCCAATTTAGTGAATGAATTTAAACAGACATCTAAATATTATTATATTATTATTATTATTATTATTATTATTATATATATATATATATTGACAAGTTTTTTCTTTTTTCTATTCTATTTTATCGATATTATAATTATTATTATTATTATTTTTTTTTTTAATTTTATAATTTAAAGAAATGAGATAAGGAACAAGTGTTGTGGTATATTTAACAATTAGAGTCATTTAAATGAGTAATATATTAATAAATAAATATATATTAAGTATAATGTAATAAAAAATTAGCGCAAGCCCCTGAGTCGCCGGTACGAAGAGTGATTAACGAATAATATTTAAAATATAACATAAAATTTTTTTTTTCTTTTTATAAAGTATAAAATTATAATGATAATTATTTATAGCTCAAACGGCTCGAAATCTTTTACCGGACATCCCTCGCTTAGAGTATTACATTTACCTTTATATATATTTAATAAGCGATAGCAATTTAAATAATATATTAAATATATATAAAATTATAAAAATATATATATATATATAAATTAAAAATATAAACATAAATATAAATATAAATAGATAAAAAAATATATTATTATATAAATATATATATATATTAAATATAAAAAAAAAATTAAAAAAATATAAATATATGAATATTTTATCGAGAATTTAGATTTTGTATTTTGTCGCGTGACGGGATGACCGGCGAAAGTTTCACTACCGATTTATTTTGTTAAAACAAAATTCGGGGGGTGAGTGTTTGAGGAAATCAGACAAGGGGGGTGAGAAAAGTTTCGGCCCAGGGGTTCTCGTTATTTTATAATTAAATATACATTTAATTATCTTTCATTGATAAATAAATCTATATTTGATTGAAAAAAAAAAAAATTAAAAAATATATTATATAACTTAGAAGCAATTACTCCGCGCCGCGTCATATGTAATCATATATATTATTATTATATATTAATTATTATAGCATTTAGTTGATATTAAATATTTTGATACGTTTGAATTTGAATTGTCGATAATATTTATGATGATTATATATATATTAATATTAATATGATTATTTTATTTTATTACGCGAGGTTGCTTATTTTTCTTTCAAGAGACATATATTATTGAATATTATTATTATACATATTATCATAAATAAACAAATAAATAAATAAATATATATATCAAATATTATAGAGAAGAAACGGAAGAAGAAAGACTACTCTCTCTTTATTATGCTGAAGAAAAAATAATTAAAAATAAAACGTAAGAGAGACCAAAGCGATTTGTGAAAAAAAACCGCGTTTACTTTAAATATTACCGCGGTTATTTTCTATAAATCTGGGGGTTGTTTTAAACTATATTATTACTAAATTTTGCTTTTTATTAATAATTACAGTACTAATAATAGTAATAAAAAAAAATAATAATAATAATAATAATATAATAAATAATAATAATTATGATGATGATGATGATGATGATGATTAAATGAGAAAATGTGAGATACGGATTGAAAATAACAATAATAGCCCCCCACCTGTGATTACCATTTTTCATTACACGTCTTTTCTATTTTTATTTTTTATTACAATTTTATATTTTTTTAAATTATTAATCATGTACAGTGTTGTCACACGTGTTTATTCGCATTTAAATTTCTTTCATAATTATTTCTTGTCAATCGTTGCCATTTTTTAACTAACAAAAATTAATAATAATGAGAGAGATTTTAAAACTAATAATAATAGTAATAATAATACTAATAATTAATAATACGAGATATATATGTGCTCAAATATCTTTTATCTGATTAAAAAAAAAATAAAAAAAGCCAACGTGCTGAGACCCACCGGTGCGAGTTTATTATTATTATTATTAATTATTTTAAGTATATAAAGACAGTGTGTTATTTTTTATCATTTTCTCAATTATTATTACTTTATTCAATAGTTTATATTTTTTTTTTTTGGTTTCTATTTTATTATTATTATTACTATTATTTTGTTAATCCAGTCCCTTTAGCGACAAATAATTATGTCTCACCGGTTTTAACAATTAATTACACAAAAAGAAAAAAAAAATAAAGAAAAAGAAAATAATTATTCATAAAAAACAAAATAAATGCTCTTTCACATATATATTTTAATATAATATTTATACGTTCGTTAACAAATATTGGTCCGCACTCAAAGTATATTAATATATATATATATAAACAAAAGTCAAAAAAAAAAATAATAAAAATTATAAAAAAAAAAAAATAAAAGGACAAAAAAAATTACAGAGTTTTATATTTTAAGTTCGATGGCAAAAATAAAATTATATATTTTTTCTACGTTAATGTAAATGTGAAGAAAAAAAAAAGAAAATTAATTGATAACAATTGCGGTGAGGACGTTTTATATTTATAAGTCAATCTCAAGTTCTGATTATATGAATAAATCATGAAATAAAGAGTAAAATAATTAATAACAATAATTATAATTAACTGATTAAGAAATTAGATATTTTTTTTCGTCTCATGCACTTGATAAGTCTGATAGGTGTTTTGAAAAAAAATTATCAAGGGAGTAGAATTAAAATGAAAAAAAAAAAAGTTAAGAATGATCTCAAGCTTGTACTTGAGGGATTTATTGAAAAGCGTACGACAGGATTAAAATTCTCAATTAAATGGATATTATATATTAATATATTGATAGACGTGTGAATGATTGATTATTAATATAATATGAATTATAACGCTACATAATAAAAATATGATATAATATATTAAAAAAAAAAAATAATGGCGCGGAATCTCTTGTTTTAATTAATTATAGTTATTTTTTGAGTATCTTATTAAGTTGAGCGAGTCTTTGACTGTCTCAGGTGCGAGTAGAGCGGTTGCCGTTTATTTGCTAAGTCTTGAGCATTTACAAATCAGGGTTTCATTCATTAAATTTATTATTATTTATTAACGAGTAAGGTATTCATAGTATTTATAAATCCGCTTATTTAACTTTTAACTGGCCGAGAACCTCCGCTAGACATGGAGTTTGATAAATTTCCAACGAGTTTCTTAATTCTAATTAATAATTAATAGTTTAAAAAAAAAAAATGATATTTAAAATGAAGAATAACCTTCACTTTGGCCGAGGTTCTGACAGTCCTTACCATTTATTTGTAAAAAAAAAAAAGCAAATGCAATTCTCACCTTCGAGTCTCGTTAAAATCATAAAAACATTTTTCAAATAATTAAATAATAAGCGCAATAATTATGGAGATGAGGGACTAAAATAATAAACCCGCTGTGACCCTTTGACACACTATTTATTATAGGAAAAAAATAAAAAAAGCAAAAAAAAAAATTAAAAAATAAAAAAAACCGAAAAAAAAAATTAATAATAATATAAATAATGAATAATAAATAAGCTTACGTAAGGCATTAAGCGTAATATTTATAGCCATTGGCTGTGACCGATAACTGCCATTTTTCGTATGAAAATATAAAATAATAATTATTAAAAATAATAAAATAAAAGTAAATCATGACAGTGCGCGCGAATTCGAGTGATATTGGCGATTTAAAAATTTTTCGAGAGTTGTAATTGAGTTATAGCTCAAGCTTGCGCGTAGATCCGTTTAATCAGTATAGCAGCAGTAATTGTGGATAAGTTATTTATAATAATTATAATAATTATAATATATATATTAAAAACAAAGTCTGAGGGATGCAGAGAGTGAGAATAGCAATTGTCAATGCCCCCGATCAAATAATAATAATATTTATTAATAATAAAAGTCCCTTTTTTTACCCGCTTTGATAAATAAAAAACTTCCTTCGGAGTTTATTAATAATAATAATAATAATGAAGAAGAAAATAAAGAGTTTAGAACACGAACACGACGATACATATCTCAAAGAATAATAACTAAACTTAAGGATTTTTAAATAAATAAATAAATAAAAATAATAATAATAATAATAGTTTGTATGGAAGAGAGAAATAAAAAATATTTAAATATATATACTTGTAGGGTTAATATTGAATGGATAATTATATTTAAAACATATATAGGGAGAAATTGTTGTTTAATTTAAAAAAACATGTCATATTTTATCTAAATAGTTATGTATTATTATTA